TGGAAGAGACAGTTTTGGATCCAATGACTGAGGCCCTGGCAACCTGGCCATCACATGGAACGCATGATCAATAATCGATTAGTTTGGAACTTGGAAACCAATAACCTATTAACTGATATACAATGTGGTTTCCGTAAAAACAGAAGTACAATTGATCATTTAGTGCGTTTGGAATCTTTTGTTAAAAATGCCATAATTAATAAACAACATGCAGTGTCGATCTTTTTCCATCTAGAAAAAGCATACGATACTACGTGGAAATATGGTATTTTGAGAGATTTACATGATTTTGGATTACGGGGCCGTTTGCCTCAATTTATATCCAAGTTTTTAAATGATAGACAATTTCAAGTCCGAGTGGGCTCGACCCTGTCTGACCATTATAATCAGGATCAGGGTGTCCCTCAAGGCAGTATTTTGTCTGTCACACTGTTTAGCATTAAGATAAACAGTTTATCCAAGGTTTTAAATGATTCAATAGATGGATCACTTTTGTGGATGATTTTAATATTTCTTGTCGCGGTAAAATATGCATACTATTGAACGGCAACTGCAGTTGTGTTTAAACAAGATAGATAAATGGTGTCTCGAAAATGGCTTTAAATTTTCTAAATCCAAAACTAATTGTATACATTTCTGCCATAAATACAAACCGCATAAAGACCCTGAACTATTTCTAAATGGCACACCCATCAAAGTTATGAAAGAGGCCAAGTTCTTGGGTATTATTTTTGACTCACACTTCACGTTTCTACCACATATTAAAGCACTTAAAACTAAATGCCTGAAGGCACTTGACTTGTTGAAAGTCGTTTCCAATTCTAAGTGGGGAGGGGATCAAGCTACCCTCATACATCTATATCGATCACTGGTACGTTCCAAACTTGATTATGCTTCCATCGTTTATGGTGGAGCCTGCAAAAGCAACCTTAAACTACTTGATTCTGTCCACCATCAAGGCCTTAGACTTTGTCTTGGGTCTTTTAGAACCTCTCCTATTGATAGTCTCTATGTTGAGGCTGATGAGCCATCCCTTACCCAACGTCGTATCAAACTATCTTTACAGTATATAACAAAACTCTATTCTAACGAGTCTAATCCTGCATTTAACTGTGTCTTTAATCCCCTCTATGAGGATTTATACAACAAAAAACCTTCTCTTGTTCCGCCTCTTGGGCACAGAATTCAACCATTCCTTTCTGCTGCCGGCATTGAGCTGGAGAATATATCTCCTTCTCGTCTTCTTTCTTCTCCTCCTTGGCAATTGGTGAGGCCAGACGTTGACTTAACATTAACCACATTTAAAAAATCAGAAATTAATGATTTACAGTATAAACAAGAATTTAGTCAATTAAGAAATAAATATAATACATATAAATCCTTATATACAGATGGATCCAAGGATGGTGGCGCGGTTGCTTGTGCCACTGTCATTGGGTCCAAAACAATATCTTCCAGACTACCCAATGACAGTTCAATTTTCACAGCAGAAGCCAACGCAATACTAACAGCTCTTAAATATATTAATAAACACCGTAAATATAAACAATATATCATCTTTTCAGATTCTCTTTCGTGTCTTCAGGCTATAAAAAATATTTCTTGCAAACATCCACTTTTATTAGAAATTATTGAATTGTAAAATGAGCTTGCTACTGGCCAATGCGACATCGTATTTTGTTGGTTACCCAGCCATGTTGGCATTTCTGGGAACACGATGGCTGATATTGCTGCTAAGGCAGCACTCAACAAATCTGTGACACCATTTCTTCTCCCATACTCTGATTACAAAGCTTGCATTAGATCTTACATCCGTGATCTGATGCAGAAGAAGTGGGACACTCAAGTAGGTATTAATAAACTACAGGAAATAAAACCGTATATTGGTTACACTCACTTGGGTTGTCAGTCCAGATTTGAAGAGGTCATTATGCGACGATGTCGCATTGGCCATACAAGGTATACTCACAACTACTTGTTGAAAGGTGAAGATCCTCCGTTTTGTATCCCTTGTGATGAGAAAGTCACAGTCAAGCATCTCCTGCTTGACTGTGTCGAATTCTCCATCATAAGGGATAAATATTTTAATGTTAAAACTGTTAAGGATCTTTTTAACACTGTTCATGTTCATTTAATTCTTGTTTTTTTAAAAGAAATTGATTTGATCACTGATTTTTGATAAATATGCTCTGTACGTAGATGTATTTTAATGATTGGTAGTTTAGATTGTTAACTTAGATTGTTAGTGGCTGTGCCCTAAAGGGGGTTGACGTAGCGTAAAATTATTGTCCTCCTGAGAGGGTACTTAAGTCCCAAAACATTTCAAGTAAATTTCAGTCTACCAGGTTTTTAATCGTAGTATTTTTGTCATTTTAATGTATGGCTAAATCTCAGTATAAACGACACAGGCTGAAGGGATGGTGTAAATCCAGCTAGGGTCCATGCAGGTAGCAAAAGTAATGTAAGCCCCCATGGGCCTTAGTGTGGTGATCTACCTTCAGTTGTTGGCGATCTATAGCCAATTTTTACATTGTATTGTCTTCTTTAATTGGAATATTTTAGCTTTGTTCGCTAGTTTTATATTGATATCTGTGATTATCTAGTATTTTTACTGTCATTCGTGGGCAGGTTTTTATAATAACTATATATATTCTATTACAATGTCAAATGTTCTCGTCACGATATGGCTGAAATATTGCCGATGTGACGTTAAATAATAACTCACTCACTCACTCCGGCACACACGTTGCACTACTGTGCCGCTATGCCACGTTGTTTGTAAACTTCCCAGCCACACGTGGCACTACTGTGACACTATGCCACGTTGGCAGGAGGTAACATTGTGCCGTACGGTACGATAAATAATTCCTCTCTAACGAGCCCTCTCCCCTGGCCAATCTCTCAAGTAGTACAAGTTCGGCTCGTCGGCTTTCATGTCCACTTTATCTATGTTGTAAGTTTTGACTGACCATATAGGATCGGTGGCTCGTTTCCGAGTGTCACCCTCATGTTCCCCGGGCTGGTATAGATACCTCACTAGGGCCTTATCTGGTATCTGTTTCTCTTTCCCACGCAATGGAGCAGCCGACTCTTCCACTATTGATTTTAGTTTGATAGTGTCTGCCGGCTTCTTACCAGTTAGCCGAGTGGCTTCATGGTTGATGGCCGACAGCACCTGAGGTAACCGCGCTACCCATTCAGTCGATTGCTTCCCCGGGGTGGATAACCCTTGCATACTGATGCCAGAATAAGCGCTCAGCCAAAGTCCTATTGAATCTTTCAACTATGGCTTGGCTGCGATGGGCTCCGGCCATGCCACGCCTGACCTTGGTATCGTGTTTTTCCAGCAGGTGTGACACGACACCCATGAACTCCCCGCCCGGGGTCAACTTGCAGCTCTGTTGGCCACGTCAGCGGACTGCGTTTGTATATGCGTTCGAATCCGCGGGCTACCTTGGCCAAGTCTTTCGTGGTCAAGGGTTCGGCTTCCTTGTAGCGACTGGCCACGTTCACGATGGTTAAGGAATACTTGTACCTCTTGTCGTGGGGTAGGAATAGGACGTCGGCCTGGTGAACGTTATTGGGTATGTTAATGCCGAACTTCCTTTTAGGCACGTAGCATGGTGCCGGTAAATAGATCTGCCACAGGGCTTGTTTTTCAAGCCACGCTTTGGCCTCCTCCTGGGGTACTCGCGCCATTTTGGCCAGCTTATGTACAGCGCTAGCTCCTTTCCAGTACCCACGCGGGCTGTAGTAAATAGCCTCACACTTTCTCTGGTTCGGTGACATCCCGATATATACACCTATGGTCTTGGTTCAATTTTCTCATGCCCATACGTGTACGTGTTGATCCCATCAATAGCTATCCAACGTTTAGTGTCCATCGGCGACAGCGATGTCTTGTTTATAGTCAGTCCGTATATCCTATGCCCATCACTTCTAAGCGTGTTCATTTTATGCCTGAAGGTACGGGTCTTGAACAGGGCTTCCATGAATCTGGCGTGTTTGATGTGTTGTTTCACCACGTACTTCTTAACACCTTTCGCCTTCCGGATCTCACCATTGTCAGCCTTCAGGATGGAGTACATCTTAGGCCTCAAACCTATGTACTCGGCTATGGACGTGCCAGCACACTCGTCCTTCATCTTACCTAGGACCTTTTTATTTACCGTGCTGTGTATGGCATGGTCCTTGGGGTAGTCGCTGGTGTCGTACAAATCGAGGCGTTTTTTCATGTCTTCGTACACATCCTCGGTTCGAATCTCCATCAGCAGTGAATCCGTTTCAGCGTACAGCACTTCACACCTGTCGTCGTACTGTTTCTTCAGCTCGTTGTAGTAAAAGTCGTACATCAGGTGTTTGGATAAATCGAGGATGCTCATCTCCACGTAAACAGGCCGGTTGAATTTTATGTGGCTTTTCTTCATGTGTAGGGCAACCAGGTCGTCGGTGATTATCTTGCTACGGTTGAATGCCGGACTGGCTATCAGTCTCCTGAGCTTGTCTTCCTCATTCGACCGAACCAGCTTCACGGTCACGCGTTTCCTCAGGTTCTCAATCGTCTTACCAAACACCGAGTTGTTCATGGGCTTGTAGAGGTTTTTCTCAAAGTCACTGGTGGCAAGCTTTCGGAGGTCTGTGTTCATTCTGATGTATGGCTCCATCCAGGGGCTCTGGTTGAACACGAGCACCCAGCCTCATACCCAACGACAGGAACAGCTGTAGGTTGTGATAGTGAACGATGTACTTGGTCTTATTCATTAAGTTGGGCACGAGTTTTTCAACGTCTGTCACCTGCCCACCTAACAAGTTATGTTGGTACTCAGACATCCAGTCTGGGTTAACCCTCATACGTTCGGGGGCCAGGGGGTAGCTGTTGTGTGATGGGTGTAATGCCTTTAGTGTTTCCCCCAGGATTATGAAAGGGCAGGGTAGACTCAGATAAAAAAGAGCACTTTAAAATTCAAAAGGTCATTCAGAAAACAAAAAAGGCAAAACAATTAAGGGTTCAGTAATTTACTTTGGCTGACATCATTTGATGCAAGTTCATAAAATTATTCGTTCATATTCTCCTTATCTTTCGTGCCAAGAACTTGGCCACACACTTCCTCAAGTCAATGTCAGTAGAAGACTTAGCATTCATGCTGACCATAAGTAGCTTGGTGCAGTTATTTACTTTCAGCCTGTTCCTATGGTCTGTCACAATGAGTTTCACCCTGGAGAAGACTCTCTCAACCTCTGATGCAGAAAGGATCACAGTAGCATGGATACTCAGGAGCTTCACATTGTTTGGGTAGAGGTCTCCCAGTTGGGGCTTGAGGCTTCTTAGAGTCTTCAGGATGGTGGATGGTGAACAGGTGTCAGCTTCCTCAGCAAAGAGTTCCTTGACCTGGTGCATGTGTGAGTTCTCATGCAAAGTAATTTTGTCCAGTCTCACGGTTTGACATCCGACTAGTGTCCAAACCATGGATCCATTTCGTCCTTTCATATTCCACTTAGTGCAAACAGAACAAAACATCATGCAGCTTGTTTCACCTTCCTCGTTTGCATCCTCAACGTATTTTAGCCAGGGGCGACCTTGTTTCCACTTGGTATCGAAGACAAGCTTGTGACCTGCATCTTTCTTCTTCTGAATTGTTTGAGGAGCTGGGTCACTGGATGACAACCGCTTGTCAATGTCATAGCTTACAAGTTCGGAATCTTCTACATCGGGCCTGAAATACACATAAAAGTCAGTTTTATTTCCAGACAAAATTTATTGTATTTTGTAAATTGGTAATAAGAAAACATCCTTTGAATATTAAGAAAATAAGAATAGTAAAAATACCTAATGAAAGTACTTTTTCACACACAGAAAAAAACATTTCAGTTGAGGATAAATCAGTTTAAAATATCAGTTAAATATACACAAAAGTTTGGAACAAGTATTTTTAATTTTGAAAATCTTTAAGACTAGATATGGAGACAGGTAAAAATTGACTTTGTTTATTGCAGACACCTTATCCACCACAAAATCTACGAACTTCAAATTAAGTATATATAGAAAAATTAATTTAGTATTTCTACCGATATTTTAGAATATGAAAAACTACATGTATGCAGTGCAAAAAATAAACTTAGATACGTTCAGAAATAGACATGTCTGATGTGGCTTCGATTCCTGCATCTATTTCGTATGGATTCGGTAATTCGTACATTTACAAAGAGTAAATAAAATTTCAACAGATATACCCAGCGCAAATATTAACTATAGCAAACGAGAGGGTTTTGTGTATATCTAGAAAATTGAAATGAAAAATACGTGCTTCCGAAAGATTTCTTTCAGAGCGAGGTCGACTGAACAAGTAGAAATCAAAAGTAAAAAAAAACATATTAGAATCTATTCACAATCGTAATATAAGAGAGGATAATAATCACCCGTGTGTTTTAAATACTTGAGACAAGCATTGAAAAGGAAAAGAAAACACTTCGGAATAATCTGAAGTGATCATGTCCGATATGGCTTCCCTTTGTTTCAATCGTTTTTATTTTCTCCTCACAAAAAGACTAAAATAAGATATGGACGTAAAGTATTTACAGCAAAGATTCTTAAACATAACAGAGACAGAATGGACATGTTTAATTAGCTATAAAGAGATCACATGAACCTAGATTATTGCTGGAAATGTTTTCTAATTTTGCCGCTATTGGTTCAAAATGGCGGAAGTCATTGTCAAGTCGTACCTGTTTTGCGCGAAGAAATCCAGGAGTCGATGACAGTTCCTTGCTTCAGCCTTCACAGTTTCTTCTCTTTTCCTCTTTGTTAATTCTTTGGTTGGCATTGTGAATCAGAATGAAAATGAACAAAGCCGAAATCGCCATGGCTTAAATAGGTAGTTTTATTGCACAACAAAAACATACGGGAAGGGAGCTAACTCCTGCCTTTGTTAAAATCCGGAAAATATTGGATTTTTCAAAGGGCAGATAATACGGCGATTCAAAATGGCAAAGCGCTAAATGAAACGGGCAGGGTGCTAAATAAAAAAGGCAGGGTGCTAAATAAAAAGGGCAGGGCGCTGCGCCCTGACAAATATGCCTGGGGGAAACACTAGCCTTGGGGTATTCCAAGTCAACCTCGAAGATATAACCTTTGTTAGAATCGTCCGCGATGCTCATAACATCGACCTCATGCGATGCTCATTCGAATCCCCCTGTGGGTAGATACTGGCTCATGGCCCAGCCGTACAGGTTGTTGGCATCGAGTTAGAGAATATGATTGGTTGGCTTGCTCGGTTCGTAGCCCTTCATGTATTGATTATTTGCTTTCACGTATCGTTTGGTTGCCATTCTCAATGAATGGGTGCATGTCGTAATCGGTGAGCAATTCCAACTTAACTCCAGTCTTTTTAAGCAAGGCATCCCACGACAGACCTGGGATGGTATAATACCATGCGGTGTCAAGTTTATACTGCTTGAAACACGTCCGCCTAAACGTCTCAAACACATCTGCTAACAGCAATACATCTGTGCTCAAGTATAGGTCGTGATAGTCACCCAGATTCTTACAGCCCAGTTTATTCCATACGTTAATCGCGTACGAGTAATCGTCTTGGGATATTACCGGTCGGTCAGATTGCTGTAAAATTCTCTGATCGGTGGTAGTCTGGTCTCGGCGAACTTGGCCAAGCCATCCATGTACTCATAGGGGTACACACCCTTCCTTATCAGCAGGGGTCGTGTCTCGGCATCAGTGTTTCGATCGGTGATGGGGAAGGTATCGTTGGCCTTGACCAGACTGTCGAGTGACGACAGTAGGAACTGAACCAAGTCGATGAACCTCAGGCCATTCAAGCTGAAGGAGATGTATCTCTCCATGTTGTTGGGGATGCACGTCAGGTTGCCATCGACTTTCGCTATGGCCTGCATGATTAAGTGAGAGTCGTACCCTCTCAAAATGTGGAAGACCACGGGAATGTTTATTGTCTTGGGGTTGATTCTGAGCTTGAGGTTGCACGCGCTGTAAGTGGCGCCTCTATACTTACCCGGTGACGTGGCAGTGATCTCTCACCGAATCACCGTTCAGTGGTGAGTCACACACGTGACAATTAGTGCTACAGGCGTGAGCTAGCTGGTCGGCTTTGGTCATACGCATGGGAGCGACTGTATACAGTGCATTCCTGATAGTTTTTTCTTCCTCCTGCAAACACTTTAGAAACTTTTCAGCCCTGTCTAGACCCCTGTACACTACGGGAGCTTTCGTTTCCCCATCACACTGGACGACCAAGTATCCAAACCCACAGGCCTCATGCTCCAATGTTTTCTGTGTGGTTGGGGTACCCCCGGCAACCTCAATGGTTTGACCAAGGCTTCAAAGTCGGTGTAGATGATAAAGGCACTGACATTTGGTTCTTGTGGTTGTCGAATTTTAGGATATTGTCACCTTCCTTAGGCATGTCGACTCGTATGGCCGTCTGCCCCATACCTTGGCAATCTTCCCGGTGGGATTCTAATAAATCAGCTCGGCTGAAACCGTGCAGTCATCGCACACAAAAGTGTTTTTTCCCAACGTGTTTCGACTGGTCGTGCAACAACCGACTGAGATGTTTTATCCACGTGTAGTGATACTTTTCACCTCGTTGGATTATGAATATATTGATAACGTGGCGACCCTCCTCGCCCAACACTGGGCTGATCCTGTGCACGATCGTTTTGTTGCCTTTGTGCCCTAAGACATTATACAATAGATTATTCTGTTTTTCTACTTTAGTGATCTGGGATATGGGGGTTGGTTCATCTCTACCATCCCAGTTGAGCCCATCGTCTTGGGGATAGCTAGAAAGCCTGTCCGAATTAGTGTCAGCTGGAAACAAGGCTGACCTGGTAGCTACCCTCAGGCAATCGTCTCCTCTATTCTTGACGTTGACCATGGCCTGTTTTTTCTTATAGTAGGGGGGCAAGTCTAGGTATGACCCGCCTCTGAACGGCACGTAGTTAGCTATGTCTAGATAAACATTATCGATTTTATCAACAACCTACCCGGACCCCATGTGTTTGTAGCGTTCTAAGTATTCTCGTATCTGCTGAAAACTGGTATCGATTGATACGTCCCGGCTCAGAGACGTAGCGTAGTCATCAGCCCAGTCTCCAGTATGGGAGCCCACATGCTATCAAGTAAACCGGGAGTGCAAGACGTGACATTGCAGTTGGTGTCTGAATTCGCTTGCGTGGTCAACGTCCTGGCGAGCCTACCGGAGAACGCCACTCTGATCATCAAAGTATACCTAGGGGAACCATCGCGGGATGAAGTCGAAATCGTGAAGGGGATCAAACTCGGGTGGGCGAAACGACACCAGTATCACGTTTGCACCGTTTACGTGCGGGTGGGTGTCGACTCCAAAACCAGTCTGCAGGGAGTCACAGTGATCGTGGAAGACACGATATCACTAACCAAGATCTTCCTACCCGACAACATACACTTCATGGGAGTGAAGTGCACCCCTGAACTATTATCAGAAAAACAGTTGGAAATTATCTCGTAATAGCATTATAGCAATGACCAGTCATCACCCCAACGCCACACTTAACGACCTAGGGGACACGGAGGGATTCGATCAGCCTGGCGAGGAAAACACCTCGTACATCCTGTGCTTTAAAGACGGTGTGTACATACGGCAGTCCCTGGCAGATGTCCTTAGAGAGCCGAAATGGTTGATCAACATAATCCTCACCTCACCTTACATCTCTTTACATGAAGAGGGGCATATCGCCGAAATTAAGAACGACGGCTTCACCCTCACGTCTTTCATACCGAGTCATGGAGGGGTGCAAGCTTACCCAATGAACGCCTACCCAGGCAACCTGTTCATAGCACCCATGGAGACAGAGTTGAAGTCCGATTCCGAATTATTTATGAAATCAGGCTCCACACTCATCATAGAAGTCCTGCTAAGGGGTATTACTGCTAGTGGGCCAAGCCTGCGCCTTTTACCTGGGGTGACAGTATAATGGGCTGGCGTATCACCCCCTCGTACGTTGCCGTATCGTCATACAATTGGGGGACCAAGGGAGATTACTGGCCCCCTTGATATAACCGCCGGGGATTGGTATAGCCTAAAAGTCCCCTATTATCGTTTCCAGTATCTTCGTACACCCGACACTAAACCTTATAAGCCTCAAGTACGTTGGCCGACTATTAACAAAAGCCCAATTAAAAAATATCTTATAAGATGGGGATAAGAACAGGATGGGGCTATACCCAGTCATGGAGGAAGTCCCGAAGCCACTGGAAACCGTAGACGGGTTCCGCTTGAGACAGTTATGCGACATAAAACGCCAACTAGAACAAGACCGCGACACACAGGCAGCATTGTATAAGAAGCACCATAGAGCTTCCAATGTCGTGGATGGGGTTGATACCGCCCTTATGGCTGCCAGTATGGGGTAAGGGGCAGTAGGTTGTGGGGTTGTTGGCCACCATCATAGGTGCACCCGTAGTGCTAGGCATCGAAATAACAGCTGGGGTGTCAGGGTTGGCCGGATTGGTGTTTAAGTTTGTGTCACGAAGGCTGCATTGTAAAGCGTTGAAACACGATGAGATCAGGATTCTGGCTGAGGCAAAGCTGAACACGGTAAGTGAGCGTATTTCTACGGCACTCACTGACAGTAAGATCTCAGAGGAGGAATCTCGTTCAATCCTCTCTGAACTCGATAAGTAACGTAAGATGAAACAAGAAATCCGGCTCAAGTCTCGTAAGTCTGCTATCGGCGAAGACGAGAAGAAAAAGTACATAGAACAAGGGGTGCAAAACATTAAACTGTTTCACACGTCATAGCGGTACAGTAGTGCCACGTGTGGGCCGGAAGTTAACCGGGGACTCAAAAGTAGTAGATACAATGGTGGCGAGATCCAAGGGCCTGACAAAAGCTTTATTTGTGAAATAAGGCCTTGCAGAGGCTTTTGTTGGACTTGAACAAGGACTATCATTATATATACTACTAAAACTAAAGATCAATCAAACATTAGGGCCATATAGATTACCAATTCTTATAACTAGAGTGAATATACATGTACAATTAATGACGGCCTTCTTTTGGAAACTCTTCTTTTGGAGTGAGTGAGTGAGTTAATATTTAAAGTCACATCGGCAATATTTCAGCCATATAGTGACGTCTTCTTTTGGAAATAGAGGGTGAAACCATACAGTTCTTATCAAGGAAAAAGAGAAATAGTGAAACACTAGAAAAGGACTTGCGATCAGAAATTCAATCTGTTCAAGAAAAAATTGATGAGACCTCAGACATAGAATTAAGAGAAAAACTGTCTAAAGATGTTTTAACAATTAACCAAAACTTTGTTGATATAAGTAAAGAAGTGAGTGAGTTTAGTTTTACGCCACACTCAGCAATATTACAGCTATATATAAGGCCTGGACCAGACAATCCAGTGATCAACAGCATGAGCATCGATCTACGTAAATGAGATACAATGACATGCGTCAACCAAGTCAACGAGGATGACCACCCGACCCAATTCAGTTTGTTGTATATACTATTACGAGTGTCTCAAAATGTATTGCTTTCACTAACTGTTTATATGATAAATTTACAAACATTTGGTGGTCATCACGTACTTTAAATTTGCTTTGGATATAGTCCAATTTTAACATTATTGAATATAAGCAAAGACTGCAGATCATAGCTGTATAGATTCTGTTGTTAGTTTCTTTATATGAATACATTTTGTTTTGTACATGAAGGTTTTAAAAGCATGCAATTGTAAACCTTTTTGTTGAACATATGTGACATGTGATCTGTACATTGAGAAAATGTGCAAAAAAAATAGTCAAAACGGCAGTCACGCGAATGAGTGAGCCCCTCTCAGGTAGTCTCAGAGGACCGTATTGCATACACGTTACGTTCTCTACTGATTAAGATGAAATGACCCAGTTTTGCTGTAATGATGTTTTTAATCATCAATACCAAAACTCAAGCATTTTACATCATTAT